TAATAGGTACTGCATCTGCGTCAACCAGTTCACTAACAATTCAGACACCAAGCAATGATGATATAAGGCAACCTTGTTTGCGCATTCGGCTCATTCTGGCAAAACTGATTTCGAGTTTAGCCTACGCGAAGGAGGTTGAGTAAGGCGATCTAAAATACGGCTCATTATCATGAACAAAAACATAGGCGTCAATTCACCTAAGCTTCGAATAAAGCTGTCGACATTAACGAGCGTACAAATCAACAAAAAACAGGAAAATGATGAAAGGCGCCACGGTGGTAGGTAAAAAGTGCATCAATCCAACCAAGGTAGCCATCGTCGGCTACAAGAATGACAAGAATTACCATACATTGCGTGGATTACGCCTCTGCTTTTGGAAAAAATTTGACGTAATAGATGTCACCATAGTGAAACAATGCCTACCCTAACCACGCCGACCTGAACTTCGACATGAACTAGGCATAGACTCAAGGTTCCAAGGCAATGACATCCTTGGTTACGAAACACTAAGGGAGGATGAATGCATGAATGATGAGTACTGGCAACAGCAGAGTGAAAAAATACCCACCTAAGAGAAATTAAGTCCCATTTGGGTACCAAACAAGGAGACATCTAGAGATGTAACGTAGCAAAAAGTGCGGTTGTCATGTCAATATTTACACAAATCTCCCAATCCATCAATGCTGCAACTTACACCGATTTCAAAAAATAACGTTCTTTGAAGCATAAATAAAAGCACAAAATTAAAATTGGAGGAGTTGACACAAGGCGAGCAACCAATGCTACCAGAGTTGAAATGCCCCTTCAAGTTATAAACAACGAGTCAAAGTTGAGACTGTCAAATAGTAACTGCTTCAGAAAATAGTCATGGCTTCGTAAAACCACAAAGGAATAAAGGCGTTATTGTCGCATACCCGCTCGGAAGAGGCTGTGGTTTCTCCCACTGTGTTCGCTTTGTTAAATGATCAACGTAGTAAGTTCTTCCAGTGGAGGGATCGGTACGTTGCTCCCAGTGTGGTGGTAGACCTTCCGTATTCGGGGCGGAACGCCTTCTGGATCCGTTTTGTCGACGCGGAACAGTCAAAAGGTCGCCAGCCGTGGCAGACGCATTGGTGGCAGGCGCAGCAGAAGAACCATTTGTGACAATATTGCTAGGTGCTGCACTGCTAGTGGTAGTGGGCGTGGATGATCGAGAATTTTCATTAATTGTAGTGGGCCTCTAAAGTGCACGAAACAACTTCCACAAATAGGCCCTGTTCCTACGAGCGGACTTGCTCAGTTCTCATCGCTAGGCCAGAAGAGATTTGGCAATGACAAAAATTATGCATACTCGTCATAGCAAAAGCAACTTATTTTACAACACACCGCAGTAAAATTGAAAAAAAGATTCCTGATAGAGATGTTTGGAGTGAAAGAGACTTCACCGCGGCGATTTCAAAGGTAACATAAAAGCGAGAGTATGTGCTACCAATAATAACACCACCACCAAAGGTATCACGAACCAAAACATCAACAACTAAGAACGATATTGCAAACACCTTAGGGCTGACTGGGCAGAATTTTCCAGCCCACGGCTCAATATTTGCTTACTTCAAGCCTGGAACTTGAGCCGAATCCTACGTACCTTATGGACGCAAGCATTCACTAATCATCACAAAAACGCAACTTCTCGTTTCATCATATTGAACAAATCGTTCCACAACCAACTCTCAGAGCTGCTTTATGATGAGGAGACAAATAAAAACCCGAATTAATTTAATTGTATTTCGTAAGCCGCACCGTGACCGAAACCACCACAGTCGATAAGCTGCTATTCGAAAAAGGCCATAAGTGTGTTCTGATTATATTTACCAAATGCTGATTTATCCGCTTCTGATGCAGTGCAATGAAAGAGAGAACTTCCCAACAAAGTCTCAACGTCGATGGGTAGATTGATTTCCCTAAATGCGCCTTCGCATATAGGATTTGTAAGTGAACAGATCCCATCGACACATTCTTTTCCACCGGAACCCACAGCTCGCTCGATATAGTGAACTGAAGCACTACAAAATGTGCCAACGATGTCTGTGGAGTTGAGGTCTTCTCATTTCTACATTTCAATACAGTTGTTTCGTTATTTCTGGGAGCGAGACCAGTGAGTCAGAACAGGTAATAACGGAAAGTAACACCTAAGAGAGGACGCTATAATAGCGCACTTTTTGCCTTCGGGCAAAAGCACGAGACTCTACTTAAGTGCTTAAGAGACCGGATCCGAATTTAACACGAGGAAAGTGCAGCTTTAAGTTTCGCAAAATCGATGATCTAAGCAACAGACTAAACAAAAAAATGTAACGCTCTTTGTGATGCCTTAAGACACAGGCAATACTTAAAGAGGCAAAACGCCAAGTGAGAGCGTTGGTAAAATAAGGGAGTAAACAACCGTATAAAAGCGGCTCACATCAGCAAAATGCCAGAAAAACAGCTGTGATGAATTTGGTTTTCTATGGAATGAAAAAAAAAAGTTGCGACGCACTTTGATCTTGTGGTTTTAAAAGATGCTACATGGGAGCACATTGCTATCAACTAACTGAGAAGACTCGATGCTTAAGCGCAAAGGGTGAAATTGGCAATGCAGGGTCAACGAAACACAAATCCACATGGGAATGCGCATATATGCCACGGGCCAAATATTTACTTTACTGAGCCGAAAAAAGTCGCATTTTTTAAAAATTGATGTAATGACACTGATCAGCGAGCCAGAAGCAGACATCTCATAGGATTGTTTACTCAAGTACTCTAATGATGGCAAATTCAGAGATCCGTCTCAAAGACGAAATTCAACAGAATAAAACTCAAGCGAAAAAAACGAAGCCCCTGACAAGGCGAAGACAGAACCGAATCGCGATCTGCGTCTGCACAAGAGTTGGGTTATGATTTCAGCGATGGTTGATGGTTTATGGACTAAAAATAAATCCATTAGGGAATAACAAAAACGGCTCACAGGAGATGTTCAATAAAAGCTGGGATTTTATTGCGCAGCTGCGAGTACAAAAAGTGCCACCACAGTAGTTATGCCTACTGTATGGGTCGCCACTTATCCCTTTGGGGATCGCAGCTACGTTTGACTACACCGGTCAAGACGCCAAACACATCAGATTATAACAACAATAGTGTATGGGTGAGTGGAAGACCATTAGATGAACGAAAGCGTTGAACATGGAGGCGAACAAACGGCCGAGAGTGACAATTTGGACTGTGACACTGTCAAGATTCCACCAATATACGGGACTTCCGATCCTGGAAGACTACGCAATGTATAGATGCTTTACAAAATTGCACTTAAAAATTACACCGACCCGAACCTCAGAGGTTATTACTTAAACTCTAAATTGGAAAAGTGGAAAAAGAGAACCATATAGATATGGTCATCTTTCTTATGCGAATTGAAACTTTTGGACTAAAAAGTCCCTCCTTAATTCATCTTTTGCCAGGTATCAGCAATGCATTAGCGGTCAATTAGACGTAACTGCTACGCCGATCCTATTCAAACAAACTAGTAGACTTCACAGGCTTCTTCTGTCAGAAATGGATCGTTATTATTCGCAAAACTAAACGGATCAACACATGAAATTGTGGCAAAGGTACCTACAGAAGGTCGCTGATTGATGTTGACAGCCACAATCGCCGCGTTGACAGCTCTAGCCGAAGCTGTGAGAAGTAGATTCAGCGTACCTAGAGAAGTCAGGGTGGTGCCGTCCACTGACTGATCTGTTGGCAGAGGCAGTATATCCAAAGCGAAGGCCGCATCCTCCACTAAGCAAGCACGGATAAAGGCAATACGATGAGTCCGAGTTTCCAATTCGCCTGTTTTACATGCTCAAAACTAATGTCGCATGTCTGTAATGCTACAATTAACACCTAAGGGGATGCGAATTCGAGCAGAGAGTGGAAGCAGTACAAGAAGCTCATATCATATGTGATTAATGGGGAGCTCGAGTTGCGACAGCAGAATTGGCTAAGATCTTGATGGGGACTTCTTTAAATAATAGGGTTTTTCAGTCTTCCAAGATTTATTTCTGAGCTCTCATCCATCCGCGGAATTTGACCATCTTATGCTAACAAAATCAACTCTACAGCTACTTTTTAACAAAACTTCAAGAGTTAATCAAACTACACTGGCGATACTAGCAGTTGGAGACTGAACCAATCTGCAAAGACTCAACCCAAGGCCCTCCAAACCGAAGACGCCGGCGTTTCAAATAATTAGCAATGTCCCTAAGAGAATTGCTCGCAATCGCAATAGCAGTCAGCTTAATATAAATATCTGACGCTATCCTTTGAAGTAACGAACTAAAGTTAATTTAGGAAGTTCACAAAAGTCCATTGTTTGGTGGTAGCTCAGTCTCTTGAGATGGAATATAAATCTTCGAACCATAATGTTTTTTAATATTAAAAATAATTTTAACTTGCCTAACGAAACTTTGAAACTTTAAATTGAAGTAAACAAGAAGGCTGCCAAAGCTGAGTTTTGAAAGGAGAGGGGAGCAATGAATGCATGGTAATAATCAACATCGCTGTTGATTTTTAAGATAATCTCAGGATTTAACACGCCGATAACAGAACCCAATTGGGTTAATCCTGATTATGTCTTAAGGAGTAGTTCAAGCACTGCTGCATCAGACAAAGGATGACGAGTTATGTTAAATTCAACTAATGATGACGTCACTGCTGCATGCTCACAGATTAATTACAAACACAACGCGATTACACATACAATTGCCACTTACAATTATTACCATGGTTTCTCAAAGCATCGCGGATTCCGAGACGTGAGTACCCAACAACAAGTCCAGCCCCATTGTTCAAGGAAGCATGTACAGAAGCCTGTGAGACGATGAGGAATTCGATATGAGAGTTGATGTTAATGTTAAAGTTGGTCCTGGAATTAAAATGCGGAGTCCATCCGGTTTTGGCCGAAGTTGAACCCCGATTGGAAGTTATGTGGTCCGTGTTCGTCGGACTGTCTGAAGGAGGTGGGGCGTCCCAAGATGTAGTATTGAACTCAACATAAAATGTAGGGTTCCGGATACGTGAGAGGGCCGTAGATCTGGTGTGTTTGTGTAGCTTTGCACTCACAACTACGGTAAAAATAGAGAAAATTTGGATTCAACATCTGATGGAGTGAGCAAAGTTGTCGAAAGAGAAACTCACTTTTCACTTTTAATTTAAATGATGTGTTGGCTTGGCTATTCTCTTCCTGTGAAGGCATGTCCTGCAAAGCAAAAGCAAAAATATACAAATGGCTATTACTTCGGATTCTGAAATACTCTGTTAGGAAAATACATTCAACGGCTGAAACACTAAAAAGCCTAAGACTACATCATGAGATATACAAAGCCCGATGTTTGGCCATTCAAGAGACGTCAGAATACAAATCTGATTCTTAATGAAATCCAACATAAACCCCACTTCTCAGATTGAAGCAATGAGCCAGAGACATATGTCAAAGATAACCCTGTGAAACCTCCACAAAAATTTCCCTACCACAGCACATACTGCGAAAGGAAACAGATACGACTATCTTGGAAGAGACCGAATGGTTACGAGCAATAACAAAAGTACATTGACGATGATGAAAAAACGGTTACGGTCACTTTTTACCTGGACTTGTCAATTTGAAATGCAAAACAAGACGGTGTAACAGTGTGACAGAAACCTTAAAAGCAAAAGCCGAAAGAAGCTGAAGACCGGCCTCTGTTACTTACAATAAATCCTACACTCATTGCACAGGTGCCCTGATATATAAGGACTTCCACAAGGACCGCATAACGATTGGTTGAGTCTTCTTGAGCGCTACTTACGGTAGGTCAATTCAAAGCGCTAAGTGAATTATAAGCATTAAGACAGATAAAGGGATTTAAAGATATACACTTAGCAAGAAAATAATTTAATAGTATCAAATAAAATGTACTGGTGTAGGCCGCAGCAAGAGTTTTTACGACTACACTGCTTTTATAAAAGGATATGTCTCCGAGTTGTTAAGCCAATGAAATGAACTGCCACTTTAGTTTCGAATCGCGCTGTTAACTCATTATGGCGTCTCAGGATTCTTTTATAGGGAGAGAAAGCGGATAAGTCACCCCCATGACGTAAACAAACGTACTCAATTAGAGGGAATTGATAAGCGCCCCCCGCACAGCCCGGACTCTCGCTTGACCACATCCCAACCACCACCCCGTGAATTCATCAATCGCATCAATGCAATGAACCACGACATTTCATAGTTACAAATCAAATTAATAATGTCCCACACTAGCGACATAGCATGGAAAGTACAGTGTGAAGGTAAACGGAAAGGGAGAAAAAAGGGAGTAGAGTACAAGGCGAGAACGAAGTATCACATCTCTTATCCAAAAGGCGTCCCGGAACCCAGCCCACTAAAGTTACCGGACTGGAGCTGGCGAAGGACATTCTGCAGACCCGCAGTCCCACCCATCTGATGCAACACCCGTGGGTCCATCGCACGAGCCATGGAGGCCTGGAGTTTTGCCATTTTGCCCGAGTTCACTGATCGCGCAGCCGCTGCCATGTCTGATAGGCTCGGCTGCCCGCCTCCGCCACCCCCACTCCCTCCTCCAGTTGCACTCGGCATTTGCTGGAAAAGACCGTTTATGCCGCCCATCTTCTTCACCACCTGAGCGAACTTTGTGTGCTGCACTAGCAACTGCTTTACTTCTCCTTGGCTAACACCAGCACCACGAGCCACGCGTTGAATTCGACCGGGTTGGCGGTTGAAAAGACGCGCTCCGTCGTCAGAGTCAAGCTCGTGATCGTTCATGCTATCCATGATGGTCATTAGACGCTTTAGCCGACGGTGGCTCTCCTAACCAGATGGACGATAAAGGTGAAAAGATTTAACAGTCTAGCGACTCCTAGTGAAAGAAAATAGACTTCAAATTATGAGAAAAAGAGGAGTCTGAAGACGGTTTTTCCAGATGATAAGAGGAGGGTGAAGGATTGGAGCTAAATACCGTGAAGACCAGATCTCCCCACTAAAGCCTTAAATGCGCTTATGCTAGATTCTTCATGGTTCTTTCTTACAGAGTTATGAAAACAAAATTCTTTCAAAAAAACCAAACACTTTTAGTATTCCCACTTGTGCCAGTAAGATTTTGACACGTCTGAGCAACAACCGAATTGACAGAACACAAAGTATTTTCATCTAAGAAAACGAACAAATAAACCAATAAATAAATAAATCTGTTCATCAAAGCCCGAGCTTTGGTGACTGGAAAGTGGAAAACTACAGAGTCACTTCGAAACGCCTGGTCATCCATCATGAGCACGTGATCCTGCAATAAGTGATTCGTGAAGCAAATGGAACCGATGGCCACCACGAGATACTAGTCGAAATCTAAGTAGTATACGACCCCAAACTCTGAAAACCTTGATCAATTAACATCGAAGTTAATATGACAATGAATAGAACCCCTACTGCCACGAGATGAGCACCTCCACTACAATTAGTGCAGAAAGTTGAATGTTGCAGTTAACGGTCGTGACGGACGACCCTTCACACCAAATAGCACCTTAGAAGACGTTATGTGACCTTCATTTTTGCTCCACGATTTAAAATGATCTACTCAAATCCTACTCTAATGAAAAAGGTAGAGCCGTGACCAGAAATTAACACTGGAAATTGCAACAGAATGCCTTTTTATCCTTCAATTCATCAGGAACCGAAAATAGGACAAGGAGTATCATCAGCCCATACGGATGCATCAGAACATTTTAAGAGTTGAAGTAATGAAAAAAAAGCAATGTTAAGATTCCCATCTCCTCTTTCCTTAGATTGGAGGAAGTAAAGTCAAGACTAGTTCCAAATTTCCGTGGTCCATAACGTTGTCATAGATAGCTTAGCTCCCAAGGTCCGTAAAAATCCAGGCAGGATCGCACAGCCTCCACTCGTCAGAGGTTCGCCCTCCAACGGAAACACACTCATATTTACACTCTTGATATCTAAGCAGACGGACAATTTAATGGCAATAGGCGTACTGAACAGCACAGAGGAGCCTACGCCATTGCTGAGTTGCCAGATTGTTCACCACCTTTATGCCAAGGACCGAGGTCTATAGCTATGACCTTTTGATCATTTCAATCCTCTTTACTTTTCAGTGGATATTTCTAGGTGCTTCGTTTGTGACACCTATAAAAAGATCCAAAATAGATGGGAACCAGTCCTAATTTTACCTGATATTTGCCAAATTTAGGAATTGAAGGAGGCTTTGCCATAAGAAGGAGTTAATAGGAGTGCTTTCAATGTCGCATTCTATTTCAGTGAATCAAGATAGATCCCAATGAGTAAATTGCGTGCCTCTGAACACAAATGTGTGAACCCAAGAACGAAAGGACGGTTCCTCTATTTCTTAGGCCATCACCATGATAGGCGATGAGGTACAAAGTATGATCGCCTTCACTAACGCTGCAAAAGAATACCAAAATGAATCAATATTTACCATAACCAGCAGACAACATTTCTCCTGTGATTAAGAAACAGAAAAATGAACACGTAGAGCGTCACAACTGACTTTTGACGGATATAAGGCCTTTGTAGAATGTGAGCGTTCCTATAAGTAGCCTCCCAACCCATTTGGTGATAAAGTTAAACTTACATGACGCATTCTACAGAAATAATTCAGTGGTATAGACAGCTGAAAGAACAACTCACTCGATCATTAGTAAAGAGTTCTTGACCCAATCCAGGAATAGACGAAAGAACAGCTGATAGGGGACCAATCTTCAAAATGTTCTGGAATTGCTCGTACATACTTCGAAGCGTGAAGACGCCCTGCTTTAGCTTCTTGATCAATTCTTCATTCTCATCAATCTTCATGTCTTTCACCTGAAGGCAAAGAAAGGAGGACATAAGATAAGGCTTGATTCCAACTTTTCCGTTCAAGGGTATTTCTACAGCCATTATTATTCATGTCTTGTTACTGATGGTGGCTGAATGACGAAATGTAATTAAAGCCGAGTGCAGTGAGTGGGACTGACGCTGGAATGTGTTTAAAAAGAATCGAACGAATACCCCTCAGTGCAAGGACGACTTAATTTTCTGGCTTAGTGCGCCTCATGGTGACTTCAACAAACACCATAACGTTATCAAGTAGCAAGTTTATCAACGAAATTAAGAGTCTACAGATGTTCGACAAAGAATTATTATTCAATATGATGGCTAGGTTCACCATACCCTTCATAGGGAGGGCGAACATTGAACAGGAACAGTGGTAATACTCTGGGAAGTAAAACAACGTTCCAAACGGTCACTAGCGCCTCAACTCAACCCCTTATCGGTCGTCGAATAAGGCTACACAATAGCCTCGTTGATACATTGCTTCGGTATGGCACTACTCAACAAAGTGCTTTTCTGACCATTTCGGCCTATGGTCAAGTACTAATCATCCACGGGTCACAAACAATCTACCATCCCTTCGTGATGTAACTTCGTGCAACCACCTGCCATGAACTAGCAAAAAAAGGGGATGCCACACATTTATTTACAGTGGGAGTAAGAAATTAGTGCGATGCTTACGAGTGGTGTGTATCAAAGTGAGCCCAAATGACTTTTATGTAATAGTGTAAATCATTAAAAGTTACTATGCTCAAAAACAAAGGAGGTATTCATAAGATGTAGATATAAATCAGCCTTGAGGGCCTATTATTCTTGTTACCCCTTTCCGACACGAAACTGGCAGATGAGGTGAGCTATCTTTTTAAGCCAAAATAGCAAGACATTTTAAGAATTCTGAAAATAATCTAAATATAAAACTGAATTGTCAATTAATAGAGCACCTGGCAATATAACTGAAGACAAGATTCAACACCAAAGTTTGCGAATGAGCGTGGTCTACATAGAAAGGACACGTGCAAACCTTCTCGAAGAGATCTTCCAAATCGCCCAGACCAAGAAGTTTTTTAACGAAGGGATGCACTCGGAAGGACTCAAAGTCCTCAATGTGTTCACCCGTACCGATGAAGACTATGGGACTGTGAGTGGCAGCAACCGCACTCAGAGCACCACCACCTATAGTATTAAGACAATTTCTGCATAATATGCCTCATTTCCTCAAATAATCTAGAGAATTCAGATCCGAAGTTGGGACTCATGAAGCTGAAAGCAGAAGCAGCAAACACAGACAACGGACATATTGTTCAGAATTGATCTACTATGGTCACATAAACCTGTTTTTAACAAAACTAGAGACGAAAGCATCCGCATATTCAACTGCTAATCTATGCAAACAAATACGGAATCCATAGAGAAAACAAAGCCGAAATTCAAGCTCACCTTTAGCATGACCATCAAGTTTAGTGACAATAACAGAGGCAACGTCTACCATTGCTTTGAAGGCACTTGCTTGAGCCTCGCAGGCCTGGCCGATTGATGCATCCATTACATAAATTACGTGGTCCGGGTTGATTGCATTGGAGACCTATTATAGTTAAAACACATAATAAAAACGGCTAGTGGAAAACGACAAACCTGCAACATCTCCTCAAAAAGCGCCTCTTCCTGCTTGTGTCGACCACTGGTATCGACTACAATTATCTCGAACTTCTCCTCATTAAACCGCCTTACACCCTCTTTGGCAATCACAGCGGGATCAGCTTCCGTATACGACCCGTAGTATGGGATTCTTGCCTTAGTGGCGTTTTGTTTCAGCTGATCAAAGGCTCCTGCGCGATAAGTGTCCGCACAGATAAGGCATGTTTTCCAACCCTTTTTCTGGTAATGGTAGGCGAGCTTCGTAGCAGTAGTGGTCTTGCCACTACCTTGCAATCCGACCAGCATGATGACATTACTCTTCCCCTTGGTTGGTTGCCACGCCTTCACTTGAGGATCAACAATCCTAACAAGTTCATTGAAAACGGCGCTTTCGATTAGTTTTCTCTTATTAACACCAGCAGCCAGTTCGTCAAAATTGATCATGGATTTGACATTTTCCCGCAGTTGTTTAACTAAACGGATGTTTACATCGGACTCAATTAAAGCAGTGCAGATTTCCTTCAGGAGGCTATTAAGAACATCTTCATTGATTATCGTGGCATTTCCAAGGCTTCGGAGGGCAGAGGTGATCTTACGACCGAGTTCAGCCAACACCATCGTCGAGGAGAGGGACTAGAGCTAGGTATTTGATTGGCTCCACGCGTAGCTAATTCGTAGATGGGCAAAAGTATTTCTCATACAAACTTGTCGAAAGAAAACTCGATTTCGACCTCAAAAAACATCAAAACCAAAAGAGATACACAAATGAAGGTTTTCAGCAGCTTAATTGTTTTGGCATATTATGTTCGTTAAAAAGCAAACTACAGGCAGAACCAATAGAAGATTAGTCCAGGCGTATGTATAGCTAACATCAGAGCCCAGCTGGCAAACTCAAATGGTGACGTGCATATAAACAAATCATTTAATGTTTGTCTATTAGTAAGCTTCTTTACGTTTAAGTTGCAAAACAGTTTTAAGCTGTGTCTCTAGAAAATTTAAGAACTAAATAAACAATGACTATTGGGTGGATGGAACGCTCCTTGTAGAAGATAGGCGAGCATTCAATTTGAACGTTTTTCTGAAAGAACACGGGCGTGTTTTGTAGATGCTACGCTAACATGCCGTCTCTCTTTCCTGATCTAGTTGCTTACCTTGGAGGCCCACACTACGTCAAATAAATTATCTCAGGGAACTTCTTTCAGATGATTCCCAGAGGGCGAGCTTTGATTGGCTGGGCTATACCCATCCTGCCCTCAAAGTCTTCGCTTCATAGATGGAAACTTATACGAAGGCGGCTTTTTGGCATAGGTGAAAAAGTACAAACGAGTGAGTATGCGTCGACTGATATGCACAATACTTATGGAGGCCGACCTCGCTTTCCTGTACCCCTGCTTCGCACTGACTTTGCGCTTCTCCTCGACAAAGAATAGCTCAAGCAGCTAATTCGTATTTCGACGTTCGTGGCCCTGTCCACAGGCCTCATGCCTTTTGGAAAGCGGAGAGTTGTAAGGTCAATGGAGCGGTATGGAATCTGGTCCATCTGGTGGCTGTGACTATAACCGGTGTAACGTTCCGAGATTTCTCATCAGGTAGTGGATTGTACAGGTGCTAAGAGGTAGGGCTATAGCATGGCCTGGAGTTCGTTTCACCCTAAACTAATCGACACTTTGCAGATCACCGACTAGACGAAGACGACATCAATAATCAACAACCATGTAAGTGACTTGTGGGTGCCTTTGCCGATTGGTCTATTGTTCGTTATCTTAATCATCTGACTACACTGTTACATGGTTCTGCGCCATCGTCTAAGTAATACAGTGCCAAATTATTGTCCATTACTCGTTTAAACCGTGTGTAGGGAATGACTGCCTGCCCTCCTGCCCTTGAACCTCGGACTTCAAGAGAGGGTTGGTTGCAGATGATTTATTTGGCATTTGTTACAGGAAGAATGGGGACTGGGATGCAGATGGGCTGAACAAGTGACATGTGATTTGCATTCCCAATTGGTTCCCGTCTCTTTCCTATTAAAGTCCACTTAAACAATCGAGTATATATTACATCGTTCGGTGCATCGTAGAGTGCACGGATCTCTACCCTGGCATGCGAAAGCAATGATTGTGTCTAAAAAGTTTGTAAGTCCTACGGTGTTGTATGGAAACAAGTTCCGCTAAATTGGCAAGTGGAATAACTCTTAGACACACGTATTTTCTTACCTACCTATTGAAGAGTCATAGGTTGATACATGAGTGGTGACATTTGCTGACAAATTTTTAAATCCAAATTCTACTACTAGACAAACCCTAAGTCGTTCAGTTTAGCAAATCGTTCCACAGGCGCAAACTCACGGTTGGAGCATCCCTTGGTTGGCAAAGGTGACTGATTTCGTATCCTTAAAACAACCGCTTTATGTGTGCTACTAATCGTCATGTTGATAGCAGACAGACTTTATTATCTCTTAAGGTAGTCACCTTCTGCGAATGCTTGAATGATGAAAGATAACCTACAATGAAATCCAAAAGTGTCACTTGTAGGGATAAATGCAGCATTTAAGCAACGTTACCGTCAAAATGAAGCTCGAAGGACGGAAAAATAATAAAATGGTAAAGATGGTTAATCTCGACTGGATCAAGCCGACCTCTGTCGATCATATGATTCATGCAGATGGTGCACAAGTAGCTCATTTGTGTACGAAGCCTCATCTTACCTCAATTGGTATGCGTTTAACTAATATTTAATTCAACTGCACTTTGCAAACAGAATTTCACCGTCCCAACTTCCAATTTAGTAAAATTTTCTAAAAGCGCTGCTTCCACCGCGTGGGTCGATTTACCTCACCAACTATGCATTGTTACTCATCACAGATGGGCAGTGACGTGTAACGCAACGAAAGAAGATACGCAGGTGTAATACTTTGTTTATGTGAGTATCTGACATTTGATGGTCACTTTAGCATTTGCCTGGCCCTTGTACACATGGGCTAGCCTTCGGGCCATGCTCAGGCCCATTTCCCCTGTCTGCCAAAACGTCAGGTCGTCACATAAACAAAGCATTACACTACCCCTCTCTTCTTTCGAGCGACGTCCTCGGCGCTCCCTTTCGGTATACCTTCCGCGCCAGCCATTACAACATATTCAGTACTACAAGTAAGCACCCACGAGCCAACTGCGCCAGTGAACAGAAAACACGAGACTGAGGAACCGTACCTGCTCTCCTCGGCAACTTCAACTGGATCTGGAGTTACGTTCCGTCTGACAACCAGATTTAGGGTCATCGACACCCGTTGGTCATCAATTGCTTCCAGAAGTAGGCGGTGGAACAGGAAAAAACGGGATGAGCCACTGTCCTGTATGTAAGGAGAACCGTAGTGTCATTCCCGACACCTAAACCCGGATTTTGTGTGGGAAATTCCGACACGAAGCTTTTCCAGATAGTTCACGGTGTTGTCGCTTAAGCTGTGAATAGATTGTCTGCGGAACACGGGAATAAGGTGAAACCAAATGCAGACGTCAGTCTAAACCCTTTCGTTGTGATGGGTTTGGGGATTCGCTCGCCACCAAGATAAATGTGCCTCCTTCAATTCATGTCCCCTTTTCGCCTGTATCTTCACATATTGCACTTCGATAGAGACAGACTTCCTCCAACGCATGTATAGCTCATGAATGTCGGTGCACAAGGCAAAAATGCACTTATTAATCTTGGCTTCCCTCACTAAAAGATAGAATTCCTTTGCAGTCTCGTCTGCTGGTT